GAAACAAGTTCTATACAACGAAAGGAGACTGCGACCACACAAAAGGTCACACCATCTTGGTCTTCATACCTTCGATTACAATACAATAAGATCGACTGACCAAATCAATGGCTCACCAGTGTTTGCGTAGATCTTGGCATCCCTTTCACTAATCTTCAACGCCGCATGGAAGGTGACGCAAGGTGGCAGACGCATCGGCGAGCCGACCTCAATGGAATCGGCCTCTCTGTCACTGTTTGAGACGTCACGACGCCAGATACGTCGACGTTGGCGCAGTTTAGGCTTCAGTTGACTCTGTCGCCGACCCGTCGACCAGTGGTTGGCGCGACTGTTCGTCCGCCGGCCGGGCAGATGAGGCGCTCTCCAATGGAGGATAAGTCGTGTAAACGTTGGTCCGACCATACCAGACCCGCTGCCGATACTGCCTTCCTTGGTACCTTTCTCGATTTCACTGAGCATGTGGTGTCGATTGGCGTCAGCCGGTCCAGCACTGCTGCTCCTTCCACCACCCGAGCTCGGAGAGAAGACCGTGCGCAGCTCTACAGTTCGGCCATGGCAACCTGGACGATCACGTGCACCTCCATTCGGTTGGTCACGCAAGCCTGTGGCCAGCGGCAGGTTGATCCATGTTCCAAGAAGGCCTGACTCTATTGGCATCAAGCTGGCATAGTACTCTGCCTCAGACAACATCGTGTTGCCAGTAGCAGAATCGTCAGATTCCCATCGAGATCCGTGCATCCCTTGCATCCCATGTGCCTCTTCTTCCTTCAGGCCAGTCTGTGTAATTGAAAAATGAGATTCATGCTAGAAACTGTATTTGCCAGCAAAAGTTGGGTTTCGGCGAATCTCTTGTTTCATAATTGTTGAGCTTACTTACATTTTGCGTGAAAGGGTTTAGTGAAGATATTCGAAATTCGACCCCATCAGAAGATTTGCTTTGCCGGAACATTCACGATGACGCTGTTTCTGAGACAATCTCCTTCGATTCCGATGAGGACGTGCTATGCTTTTGTACGTCGTATAGCGGAAATCATCAGAGCAGGGTATTATCCTTACAAGAAAACTCATCGGCTCATCCCCAAATGCTCGTTGGCTTAAATATGGTTGTTAGGATGATACCCTGCTCTGATGATGTCCTTCATACGACAGCACGTCTTCACCGGAATCGAAGGAGATTGCCTCGGAAACGGTAAAGCCAATCGACAGCTGGTAATGAGAAATCCGCCATCGTCTTCTCGTAGGATCGATCTTTAAACCTCTTCACCAAACACTTTCACTCGAAATGGATGCAAGCTCAACAATTACAAAACTGTTGTTACCTCTGCTGATTTAGATGAATTTCCAATTTTCTATATGAATACTTTTCAAGACTACTAGTAACTATAGGGCCCTGGTCGCCTAAAGAGATCAAACGGCCGGTAGTTCCGCAATCATATAAGATGGCCTCACGGTGTAATTTAATTTCACACAGTCTTTATTCTAAACAGATAGTATCGTAGCATCTCTACCTTGCCTGGATCTCATCAGCACTCTCTGCGAAAATCTAACCCTGGCTGTGGTAGTGCGGCATATAATTTCGACATATAATCACAACGCCACACTGTCATGTGGGCTAGTCGGTCACAGCTAGGCCGCTCCAATATCACATTTTTATAGTGGGATTTTCTCTAGGACAAGCATATATTTGTCATTACAGTCAATGGCATTATTTCTATTGGAATTTAGTCGGTTTTTGAGACTATCACTAGATCTTGATAGTCTCGAAATCTTTCTTAATTTGAATTTTGCTTTCATTTGCCTTCAAAAAGCTATCTCATCTAGCTTTGATCTCACCTGAACTGGCCTGATCGGCATCGCCGATGTGTTTCGAGACATGTTTCGTGAGCATTGCGGCGATATTACCACTCCATTCCACAATTGCGGGTGCCAAAGGGTCACGGAGCAAATATGACATTCAAGACTATTCAGGATTCATCCAGCTCACAATGATGGTAGGAGTGTCAATGTGGCAAGCATGTGTGACGCGACTTTGCATTTTGTAGTAAAAGTTGGTTGGAAAGAATACGTAAAGTGGTCTCATCGGAAACCGAAGGAGGATTGCCGTAGAATGAAGAAGGCTTCGACTTATCATCCTGCCACTTTAATAAACATGTGTTAAGCTTTCGTTTGTCATATGGCGGGCATCGTCAAAGAGGGAAACAGTACTTTACAAAGTAGGAAAACAATACATTAAAACAAGATGAAAGGTTTAACATATTGTTTCGCTGTTTCGTAAAGTATGGTTTATTGCTCTGCCGATTTCTTTCACATGACAGACGAAAGTCTAGCACGGGTTCATCGGAGTCCTAGGATGGTGAGCCGAGGACTCTTACACACATTCCAGCAGTTTCACTTTACGTCAGTCAACCCTCCTTCGGCTTCTGGTAAGACCAATTTACTAATTCCGTCTAACCAAATTTCTCCTCCAAATGGAGAGTCGTGTCGCATTAAATGACTAAGCGATTTTTAATTAGCAAAGACAAACATGAGTCTGCTATTACCACCGGCTTCTCAAGCGAGGTTTGCGGACTTAGTCTTTAATAAAAAATTAATGATACTCCTTAAAACTACCCATATCGCAGGAAGTCTGTAACTAGGCTGATTCCATTCTCCTTACTCTACTTCTTTAATCTTTTTTACCATGCACGCAAGATAGTGTCGTATTTAATTGACCGGTCCGCGAAAATACGGGTTCCTCTACACAAAATCGCATCTGCGTTACGCTTTCCATGTATCTCAACTGCTTTAGAATCGTATATGACCCCCAAACCTGAATGTCAACGGTTTAAATACTGAAGGAGGGTTTGGTGAGGCTCAAGTGGGAAAGGAGAATGCAGTCCATTCTGGCCAGCATCAGACTGATGAATTTTATTGTAAAATCCAGATTCTCTTTTAATTTTACTGTCAACAGACAATTCATCCGTCTCCAACTGAGGAGGTAGTGTATATTACCGAACATGAAAGTTTTGGAGGCCAAAAGCAAATTACATCTGGCAAGTACTATATACAGTTAACCTTCTTGGTTTGAATCCGCTTGTGAGTGACGCCGCAGCTTCGGCCCAAATTGGGTGATATTACACTTTTGGTAGAATTAGGGTATTTACTGCGACTATGTGTCGAAACTAAGAGTAATTCGAGAATAAGAATTTAATAAAAAACTTAGTCGAACTTAATACAAGTGTTGAGAGCTAATCATATCAAAATTTCATATGGATTAAGTTAATATGGGTTGCTTAATATGGCTAAGGGTTAAGAATGTTGCTTATTCTCATAAGGATGAAAATAAGCCCCACAGTATATGAGAATTAATCACCTAATTTCGGTAAGGCAATGAAGAAATTATGGTCAAAATTTTCCTTCTAATTTTAAATAGTCTTGCCTCCCAAAATGTATTCTCATTAAGGTTAGAGTGCAGTGGAGGTTCCATCAGCACCTCCAGTGGGACTCGAACTCGATTTGTGGTAGTACAGCATATAATCTTGATAAGTTAACCACTACGCTACGCTGTCATGGGCACCCTTGGATCACGTCCTTGTTTGGAATTCACATCTTCCCTGTGACTCAAGGGCATTCGTGGCAATGAGCCGTGGGGATTAACGCCTCGAGATTATACGCTGCACTACCACGAGCCGGATTTGAGTCCTTTTGTGAGTGCTGATGAGACTTAGGCGAGGTCAAAACTGAAGTCAACCCTGGATGGGAAGTTGTTTGACCTTGCTTTCGCAACATGGTCATAATGGTAGGAAGACTTAGAGGAACGCACCTAGTCCGGAGTCCATTGTCTGCAT